AACCAAGTGTATGTATATGAATGACTAATGACTATCTGAAAGTGTGCACTGCTATCCCCTTTTGTATGATTCATCCCATCTTATCCCTCTCTATGCTGCCAGGTAAAACATTTTGCCTTTATACATGTCCATACATTTGAAGCATATTGCCATTAATCCATGTTAAGTATTAGAAGCATTGCATTTTTAGCTGAGTTCAATATATCTAATCATTTATGTGGCTATAAGACCAACAGACACAATCACTGTTGCCTTTTTGTTCACCTCGACATACGTTTGGCATCATAGTTGGCTGTGTTGATGCGTCGTGTCTGTGGGACCCCGCCCACAATGTTATTCCGCCCACTTGTTGCAGGAGGGGGCAGCACTGTGGGGCAAGCCCCTCCCCCCTGGAAGCCACTGGCCGAGGAAGGCAGCCCCTCGTTGGTTCCCACCTCTTTGGAGAGTGTGGCCAGCCTACTGAGCGGCCTGAGCGAGCAGCAGTATGGGGTTGGCGTGGCGACCATGGCATACACAGCCCAGAGAGCCAAACTTGCCCAGGGAGCGGACAGGCAGCAGTGGACCCAGCTGTTCATCAACTCCTTCAAATATGTCTACGGGGACATAATGGGAGATCCAGAGAAAGCAATAGGACTCTGCTAATGCTAATATCCTAACCATGCTACCTCGCAAAAATGGATGCCAATGACTAATAAGCTTAATGCTGGACATAGAATATATTTTATTAAAACTTTGGGCATTTCTTTTAACTCTGTGGGTACAGTACATACCTGGGCTAATGCAAAAGAACCGCATGATATGAAGCAGGCCTCATAACGCTATATAGGAGCCGTATGTATAGTTGCTGCATATGAAAGCCAAAAGTCAAAATGTGGATTCATGTCTCCTCACTGAGTATTTCTCAGTTAACTTACTGTACGTAGGTGGGGCTGTCTCTCAGAAAAGTAACTCCGTTAATTATATGATACATATCACTTCTTCCACCTTAGTGGATGAACATATTTCATTCACATGGAAAGCGGATGTCATCCATTTGTTGGAGACCAATTCCTCTGTAGAGCCATTCATGTTGCTCCCATAGAGAACAGTAGCTCTTTGATGAAACCTCATTTCCACTGTGAATCATCAGCTCGCTGAATCACTCTTTTTTTTTTGCTGTTTTGCACATATCCATGGTTACGGCCTTAATGTGTTTTTTTATTGTGTTGTGTGAATGACTCATGTTGATGAAAAGGCCATTACATGTGGAAAATATCTGGTTTTATACATGACACAGTATACTGTATATGAGTCAGAAGTGGGTATATGTGGTTGGTTGGTTGGTTGGTTGGTTGGTTAATTTACTTGGCACTGACAATGAAGGAACTATTGTATGTTATGCCCTTGACTGGTGCATGTTTAGTTTTTTGCATGTGGCTTAGCTAGTAAGTAAGGTGACTAGTGGAAAATGACTACAGAGCTGCCATAACCAAAACCAAGCTCTTTGACTGCAACTTGCTGATGTGAATTATATTGTTTTATATAAAATGGAGTGTATTCTTGTACTGTTGTCTCAAGATAATAAAATGCCAGAGCAAACTAAAAGAGCTTTCTTAATCATGACACGAGAGACCCGAGAAGGTTTAGACTAAGCTTCACTGGGACCAGCATGTTTTAAAAAATAGCATGTTTCATGATATTTTTGCTGGCTTTGACAACTGAGGATCTACATTCCAACTGTATCTCACTGAACATGATGTTTGATTAAAAACTTTATATGTGTTTGTCTGTTCCAGAGCCTGCTGTGGCCAGCTGTGTTCAGAGACCAGTGGATGTAGTGTTCATGCTGGACGGTTCTGAGAGGATGGGAATAGAGAACCACCGCAGGGCCAAAGAGTTCATTGAAAATGTGGCCAGTCGCCTCACCCTGGCCAACGGCCCGTCAGATGAGAGGAATGCCCGCTTGGCTCTGCTGCAGTACGGCAGCCCCACAGAACAGAGAGTGGAGTTCCCGCTCACACACAATCTCACTCTGATCGCTGATTCACTGGGGTCTGTGAACTACATGGACTCCTCTTCTGCTCTGGGCAGCGCTATCATCCATGCTGTCAACAATGTGCTGATTTTACAGGTACGTGTATTACATACACACTAGCACACAATCTAGCCTCGCTCTGTCCAAAAATGAAAATTGCATTCACCAGAAACTCACAAATTTCATTATCGGTTTTTGTTTTAACCATACAAAAACTGATGATCTGTGGATTTCTTGGGGATTTCACATGGAATTATTTCTTGGCCAGACATAGGGACTTCCCACTATAGTCACTGCAATCAACCAAGAATTACTGTGCATTCACGTGCTCCTCGGAAGGTCTTTGAAGTTGGAATGTAGAAAAAACATTAAATCGAAAAACATCTTGACACAGCTTTCCAATATTTGCATAATAATGAAAAGCGCGTTAATCATAAAAATGTCTGTTTTGGCTAAAAGGTATGGTGTATGGTGTGGCTTGTGAGAGCTAAACCTTCAGTTTGTGTTTGCAAATGACACAAGTGTAACATTTGACAAGTTGACAGTAGAAGCTACGCTTTAGAGCTGATTCTAAAATTATGTCCACTGGCTTATAAGTGAAACTTGTTTTTATCTAACATTCTGCAATTTCCAAAATTAAAATTATTAATTTAAGTATAGAGCTGGAGCCTGGAGCTTTTTTGTGTAGCTTAGTTAAGTTTAGCTCAGCTTAGCTTAGCTTAGAGGAATCAGGAAAACAGCTTGCATGGTTCTCTCCAAAGTTCAAAAATAATCCTGAGAATACATTTAATTAAAACATTGTATTTCTTTGTTTAATATATAAAAGTAAATGACAATTAATAGTTTTGCTGGTATGTGTCAACGTGTTAAAAGAAAGAAAATGTGTATTTCCTAAAAATGTTCTGACTTATTCTTTCATCATGGCCCTGTTGTGTTTGTAGAGGGGAGAGCGCAAGACTCGCCGCAATGCTGAGGTGGCCTTTGTGTTCATCACTGATGGCATCACATCAACTGAGCAGCTGGATGAGGGCATAACCGCCATGAGACGAGCGGAAGGCGTTCCCACGGTGATCGCCATGGGAACCGACACAGACGAAGAGGTGCTGCGGAAGGTGTCGCTAGGGGACATGTCGGCCATCTTTAGAGGAGATGACTACACCATTATGAACAAACCCTCATTCTTTGAGCGCTTCATCCGCTGGATATGCTAGTGAGGAACTGTAATGCTCTCCACCACAGACTTAGAATCTATGGAGGGAAAGAAATGCCTTCAGTGTAAACACACACAGTCATCAACCAACCTCTGCTGTCATTATCATTATGAATGATGGATATAAGGTGCTGAAACAGCCACATTCATCTTTTTATTGGTGAAGGTTAATTTACAGAAGACAATACAATCCACGTAGCAGTAGCACACACAGACTCAAAAACGTAGGCTTGCAATATCATTTGTAACTTAGTACTATTTGCCCTAAACCAGGGTCAGCTCTTCCAACCAAAGACACTCATACATATAGTGGAGAGGTGTATGATTATTGAATGGGTATGAAACAAATTGTATTCTTTATTTTGTTTTTTTTGTATTGATTTTCAGTTTGCAGAAAATAGACTCTCTCTCTCTCTCTCTCTCTCTCCCTCTCCCTCTCTCTCTCTCTCTTCACAGTCACATTATTTTCATTAAAGGTGCTAAAACAGAAAAAAGGATAAAGCCATCTGACTGGTTCTGAAACTTTTTTTGTACATCATGTTAATGCTGTAATAACTGTAGTTTGTTCAGGGGATAAAAAAAGCACATGCAGACATGTCATCTCCATAGAAACAAAGGAATCACATATAAACACACACATATAGTGTAGTTAATTAGACAGAAAAAAGAACCCATTCTGTAAAAATGAAGTCCAAATAAAGCCTAATGTGGTCACTCCAATACTGCGTTTTTTGTTTGCAAGATGTACATATGAATGTGTTTTTGATCCATGTGCAATATGTCATTTAATCACTGTTACCTTACAGCAATGACAGAAAAAGAAAGAATAAATATGTAGGAAAAGAATGCATATTTCCAATTGCTACAATGTTACATTTATCCTCTCCCCATAAGAGAAATGTATTTCATTTTGATCCCAGTAGAGAACTTTCCTTCTATGCTTCTTATAATGTTTGGCACTCAGTAGAACACGTTCCTCTGCTAAGGCCAACAGTCCCCTTGAATACAATGAAGCTAAACTAAACTTCCACCCACTCATAGATATCAATTACTTAAATGTACCAGATTTTTTTCTTTAAGAGCCTTCCCTTTTTGTCCAACTAATGTTTGGCTCCCTCTGCTGGACAAAGGAATACAAAACTGTCCTGACATCTATTGCATTTTTAATATGAGAAAGTTATGAATGTGTGTTCATATAACTTGAACTCTGAAGTGAAATTGTTCAAAACTTGACATTGACAGAGACTAGATGTCATTGTAAACAGGAATCCATTTAAAGTTTCATGTCAACTTTCAAGATTTATTTTTAAATTCGACATGTAAACTTCATGCGAATACATTGAGACCTAAAGTAAAATATATATATAGTAAAGTACATAAATTAAACAAAACATTAAAGGGACAACAAGAAAACACAAATAAGAATAGTAAAAACAAGTGCAAAAGTAAAAGCCTAAGGAATAAATACAGTTCATGAAATTTAATTTTACAGCAAATGAATCAATTGAAGCAAATGAATTAACTAAAACAGGTGGAGGTAAAATAAAGTGAGATTAAAAACTTAAATTGCCCCAAGGATTAAAATGAGTTGAGCTTTAGATTGTTATGTTTGTCTGTTTTCCATAAAGTCACATGTAACATGTACATATTATGTGACATTATTGTGCTATATAAGAGACTGCTATATTTTGCTTATTGTTGTTATTGCTGTTATGTGATGTACAATGTGATGCACGTTTTCCACTTGGTCCTTTTTGGATGCTCCCAGCACCTGTACCGTAGCACCCAGAATAGAGGAGCCTCACATTTGAAGCAGCGGCTTGTTAGTTTCACCACCATGATTGTGACCATAGGTTCAGGCTATAGGGGTTGAGACGCATGCCCGCTCACTGTGCCACATTCTGCAGCTCTGGAGGGAAGCAGGGGAAAGAAGCCAGAGACACTTGCAGCCGGCCACTGAAACCAGCAGTGAGTGTCCTGTCGTCAGCGTCAGTTAAGAAAAGTAAGAGCATATTTGTTAGTTCAGCTTGTGTTTGTATCCTTTGTGTGATTTTTTTTTTTACTCCACCCCCTCAGCCGCCAGATCATGTCGGTGTGTGTGCAGATATTTACACATTTTCAAATCTGTTTACACACACACATTCTAAACCCGGATTTGCAGATGCAATGCAGTTGTACACATTCACAAATCTGATAACACACAGACGGACTGAGACTCATATTTGTAAATAGTTTTGCAGCAGAGCCTGTGTAGATGTGCAGGTATTTGAGGAAAGAGGTCAAGTTAAACAAGAGAGTCCAAGAGTTCAGACTGAGGTGAAGCGTTGAGCAACAGCTCTCAATGTTTACATCTGTCCTTGATGTAGGAGTGCATGCATAGTTTGAACCTGCAGTCTCTATATGGTAAGTTACAGTCTGTGGTATTTTGATTATAATAACACTTAATGTGTAACCTGATTGTTCATGGTGGATCTTGCATATGTTTGTTTCCTGCAGACCATATACACACAGTCATCCACCCTATACTCACCATTAAACCAATCACGCTCCACCGCCTGGCCACCATTACCTTTACTGAACCATCCAGCCTCACCTACAGCTGCCAACTGGTAAGTCATCTTTAATGATGTGTAGCTCAATACAGAGTCTACTATGAATATCTGTTGAGATATATCAAAGTATTATTGATTGATAAAAGAAAGAAAGACAGATCTAGAGCATTACAAATCTGGTGTGTTTTTAAATACTTGTAACTTACGCTTCATGGTAATATAAAGTAGGACTGAGTGATATGGTCCAAAATATCAAGATAAAAGTGTTAATATCAGTCAGTATGTGAAGGCTTTAAACTCATCTTTATGAGCAGCGAATGGCAAACACATGACAAACAACAAAACATTTTAGAAATCTGAGGTTGATGGTTTATGTGTTACACTGCATAAGCAATATATCAAGATATATATTGAACCTTTGTTATACTGCTATTAATAAAAATTATATTGAGATGGATTGATTGATTGTTTTATTGCCCAGCCTGTGTCTAAATTTCTAATGATTTTTTGGTTATTTAATTGTTTTCTTTATGCCATTCAAAGGTTGTAAGTATGTAGTGGAACATTCCTTTAAAATCTTGGTGTTTACTATTCAAAGATTAATGGTCTTAACATTCCAGAACCTGAAGCATTGCAACAGGACTGTAAAAAATAATAACTCTTGTATGCTGATTATGCAACAGTTTATTCATGTATGTTTGTTATCATAATAATAGTGTCATTGTGGGACTAGTTGAAGCCATTCATGCGCTAAAATTTAATTGCAAGAGAATTGAATGTGTGTGTGTTCGGTGTGTGTGTGTGTGTGTTGCAGTTGCTGTCAGTATGAATGGGGAGCCCCTCTCAGCCCTGTGTTCCCCTGCTCTGGTGGTGGATGTGGACAAAGTGAAGAGAAATGCCCAGAGGATGACTGAACGCTGTCAGAAGCTGGGGGTCCAGCTTCGTCCTCACATGAAGACACACAAGACCCTGTACGAATACACACTCTCACACTGATACAATACTTTATATAGCTCAGTCATATTGAGAGAGTACTGCTCAGGTCTTGAGTATGTGTGTTACTGTTCATGTCTAGTGAGTGTGCTGACATAATGACGGGTGGATCACGGAGGTGCATCGTGGTATCAACACTTGCAGAGGCCTGTTTCTATGCTGACCATGGATATGATGACATCCTATATGCATACTCTGTTCCCTTTGATAAGGTTCTCTCAACTCACCTTATACGACAAATATTATGTAGCACATACTTTACATGTTGAATATATAGATTGGAATTGGACACCGAAGACATTACTCATCATAGCAGGAGGACAGGTGTATGATTTTTTTCCCTATCTTTATTCAAAAGCATGGTCTTTGAGTTTGAGAGCAGGACTTCAGCTCCTCTCCTTGCGCTCATGTTGCTTCTGTGTGTGTGTGTGTGTGAAACGTCTTCTCTAGAACTTCTCTTCTGCAAAGTCTGCAGGTCTGCATTTCGCAGCCAATAGAATGTGCGGTGTAGTGTTGAAAAGTGCCCTGCCCTTGTTGGGGTTGTGTTGGCCTTATGCCTTTGAGAGTCCCTGTGTGAGCGGTTACTTTAGCTCAGTTCACGCACTTGCACACTCCACAGCTTTATTAATTCAGCGGCTTCCCATTGGTGTGCTTGTAGAAAGAAGGACGACACCTTCATGGAGCAGGAGTCCAGTAGATCCGAGTCACAAAATCAAGGATCTTAATCAAGTTTTTTTACTTTATGGAAACACTGTTGCTAGCAACCTAAAAACACTGTAGACACCGCCCTGTTTCTTTTACTCCTATATTTTATAGGGACAGGACCAACAGCAATTGTAACCAAAACAAGGGCGAGGCAATTTCATTCACCGTCACTACACCTGGGAATCTACTAGTCTGGGAAATACCAGACTAAAGACTTGTTAGCTGAACAAATACAAAAGCAGAGGGAAAAAATCCCAAGAGCAGAAGTTTCAAGAACGCACAGAAGCAGCATAAGCACAGGGAGAGGAGCTGAGGCTGAACTGCAGGAAATCTGTCCGAGCAACCAACTATCTGAGTGCAAGCAGACATTAGTTTGACACAGATTATAATATACGTGTTAATTGTAATGTTCTGACCTTGGTCAAATTACTTGTACTCGTAGTGATTAATGCTATGTGTGTGTGTGTGTGTGTGTGTGTGTGTGTGTGTGTGTGTGTGCATGTAGGTAGAGCATTGTGCAGCTCTGTCAGAGAGGCTGGATCTCTTCCAGGTTTTACTGGATCACCCCGATGCTCTGGAAAAGCTCAGAAAGAGACCACTGAGAGACGGCCGGCAGTGGCACGTCTGGCTGAAGCTGGACTGTGGCAATGGGAGAGGTAGGGGAACCACAACTCAGCTGGTCATCATTGACTGTCCGCGTGTTGATTGTATGTTCGCTCTTTTGTCGTAGCTGGTGCGCTGTACTCGGATCCCGCTGCGTTCAGATTGGCTCAGGACATCGCTGAGACAGAGGGCGTGCAGCTAACGGGAGTGTACGCTCACTGTGGGAACACCTACAACTGCAGGGGAGAGGAGCAAGTACAGGCTGTTGCCCGGGAAACCACCAGCTTGACTCTAGAGTTTGTGGAAAAGTAAGAGTCATGTGAACTGTTACTGGTGTGTACCACTGTTTTTGAGGCAGTACAATCATTTGTCCCTCCTGACATCTACAGCTCGTTTTCACATCATAAAAGATTTATTGGTGTGTTGCTGTTAATGAAATTAGTAAACCCTGCTACTTATGAAATATATCCAAAATTAAATCACTTCTATCTCTCCCTGACTTAGAAAAGCTAATAAATGCCTTTGTCTTTTCCCACCTGGACTATTGCAATGCCCGGTATACATACATACAAACCCTAGTAACCCGTTTGCAGCTTGTTCTAAATGCTGCTGCTCATATTTGAACTAAAACAAACCCTAGGTCTCTTATTTCGCCAATCCTTGCGTCCCTTTACTGGTTGCCAGTTAAATTCAGGACTGAGTTTGAGATTTATGTTAATGATCATTTTAGGCTACTTACGATGCCCTTTTAAATGAGCTAAATGTTTTGGCAACATAGTTTGTAAGGTCTCTGTGTGTTGCAGTTCCCTCTCAGTAATACAAATAATAGTTGGCTGTAATAAAACTACAAATGAGACCAATCATAACAGCCGCGATTTCTGAGTCACGTTTGAGCTGCACAGAATTTCAGCTCTGTTGTGCATCTTCATGTCATGCTGTGTACAGGGGGTGTGAGGAGCGATTAGATGGTCCAGAACACTTGTCGGACAGTTGGATCATTTTTCCAAGTTGTCTAGACCTAAGAGGACGTTCACGTGAATTTCCCCAGTTGGAAACAAATTTTCTGATTATTCCAACGCAGAATCAATGTCGTGTTTACAGCTTGTTGGGTCTAACTTGTATTACCCTGCTGATAGGTATTGGCCTCAGCACTTATTTAAGAACATACATTTTTAGATTTATGCCTTATTGAATGCTGTGTTGATATGATCATGAATGAACTTCTCTGGGCTTGTTTCTGGCAGACTGAAGGCCGTTGGCATCACCTGTAAATCCAGCATTGGCTCCACCCCCTCCTGCAGTCACCCAGTCAAAGACATGGAGCAGCTCAGTGAGGTGCATCCTGGAAACTACGTCTTCTTTGGTGTGTAGACGGATGTAGATGTAGTCACATCAGTGTACCAGTTCATTTTATGTAGGTTTCAAATTGGAATGACCATAATGACCAAAAAGAAGCTGCTTACAGACATGCAGTGAACCATGAATAATTAAAAAAAATTATCCAGAGGGTCTGTATTTGAGAACGCTATATGTCCGAGTCACTTGCTCCAGACATTCTCTGGAGTTTTTCCTTCTCTTCCCCTAGTAAAAACTCTAGATAATGTGACCTCTTCAGTGAAATGTATGTGTTATGCCCTGCCCCCTGAATGATATGCCCAGGTGAAACCCCTCCACTGAACGCTCTGAAGATTTTCCTGTTTTTGAGAACGCATCTAACTTTGAGAATCTCCCGCTGCAAATGTCCAGGCAAAGAATTTCCAGAGCTCGTGTTTGAAAATGGTTTGTGTCACTAAAGAGCAGTGGTCATTTTTGGTGTTTTGTTAGATGTGCAGCAGTCTGTGATTGGCTCATGCAGTCTGGAGGACGTGGCTGTGAGGGTTTTGACACGAGTCATTGGACACTGTCCTCACAGGAACCAGCTCCTGATCGACTGCGGATGGTCTGGACTCAGGTACCTTCGTTAGTATTGTTTCCCCTTTTTGAATTTGGAGATTGAACAGATAAACCATTAAACATTTAGAGTTGACAAAATACATTTGTGTTAATCAGTAGTATCTATAGCAAGTGAAGCTAATACATTACTCACTGCTATATTAATGGAGCGAGGCTTAACTGTGAGCTAGTTCAGGCAGTCGAGCTACACAACCCGCTAACATACACGCCCTCCCAATTTTATGGTCTATTTAAGCTGCTAAGATTTCCCATCTTTGCCTTTGCTTGTCAATGTCTCTGCTGCTCTTTGTCAGTATTAATGTCTCTAGATTCATCCCCTCCACCACCCCAGCATCCACCTGTAGGTTAGAGGGGGGTTAAACATTTTTGCTCACCACACCCGGTCATATCTATCTAATCATATCTGGGGAAGTGATGAAGTCAGATCCTGGATTCCAAAACTCTTGAGTGTTAGCTGGTTGAGCATGTCATTTATGGTCCTGACATAACCTTTCACCTGCTGTTTTCCTCCACTCTCAGTCTGGATGGAGCTGGAAAACTTCCCACTGGATATGCTGTGATTGAAGGACATCCGAACCTCAAGTAATAATATCACTCGTACCTCTTATCTTACCACTAAGCTAAAGTGTGACTGAAGTTCTGATGAGAGAATTTTTTCCCCTCCAGGTTGTTGTCTATGACCCAGGAGCATGGCAGAGTGGAGCCTATCTCAGGAGAGCTAGACTACAGCAAACACCCCCTCGGCTCTCTCCTCATGCTGATCCCCTTCCATGTTAGTACTGTTTAATGTGGAGCTAAATTTATTGCTTGATCAGTTTTACTGTGTCACTTTCTCTTCTCTGACTATCTCTGTTAATTTCTTTAGTCTTGTGCAACGGCCATGATGCACCCTGTGTACCATGTGCACTCCGAGGGCCTTCTTCTGGGAACATGGACACCTACTCGTGGCTGGTGAACGACTTCTTGGATCAACTTTTGATGCCTGTATTTGAATTCAAAACCAGTGGCAGAGGAATATTCACCTCTTCTTTCTCTGCCCCTCTGGGGGTAATAAAGACATATGAGAAGTAGAATATAGTTCTTATTCCCCAGAGTCTCTGCAGTGATGTGGGAAAAGAAATGTAGAAAAAATACACATAAACTTTTTAAATGTCTGAATAAATCAAAGCCTTAGGACAATGTTGTCTTCTCATCATTCCATCAGTGTCACTTTGCAGTGTTCTTAAAATGTGTCGGTTTGTGGATTTAAACAAAACATTTTGCTGTGGCAAGGACAGAGTATGATGCTTCAGTCAGCCAATGATCTGCATGTTCCCACTTAATGTTGAATTTTAAATTACTGTTAACACCCTTAGTCATTCTGCATACTTATATATATATATACACTTTTTTTCCAGAAACATGCAATATTCATTTCTATTATGATCATGATGATGTTATCATGATTGTTGTGGTATTATTATAAATAATAATAATACTATTCATATGTTGCTGATTTTTTTATGAATTAATGAAAGTTTCTCATCAACAAGAATTATTTCCATATTACTATTAGTATTTACTTATTATTCTTATTATAAGTAGCAGTAGTAGTAGAAGTAGTGGTTTTATATTGTAGTTTTTGATAAAACTTTATTAATTGTAAATTCGTTTGAAAGAATCTCAGCAGATTTTTTAGTCTGCCGAAGAGCATGCTGGGAAATGCTGTTTTCACCGAAGCGGCCGCTCTGATTGGCCGCCGTGTGACCTTTCACTGGTCACGTGATTTAAAAACATCAGCAGGATGGCGCGGGAAGTTGTCACGCCGTCCTCCCGTGTCTCTGTCAGGCTGTGAAGCTTCTGTTGACGTCTCTCCTCATTGTGACGGACATCATCCAGTAAGTTTACGCTGCTACATGTTCTGTAGTTCACAGGCGCTGTGTTGTTTGGACCGATCACAGCTTCTCTCCTCTGAACACTGTGTGATGATGTGCGGCCTGTTTCACAAACTCTGAGAGTGAACCTGACTGAGTCACTGCTTTCATCACTGGGATTAAGATTAGTTTACCTTGAATCTGAGTTTAGTTAACTGTAGCAGATACTCTGTAACAGATAGCCTGTCATCATGTCATCCTTCCTCTCTCTCACTGATGAGCATGTAATAAAGAAAAAAGGTTCAACTGCTTCAGGAGTTTAGATAAAAAAAGAAGTTTTCTCTTGAGTGTTCCATTCACTCAAAGTTGCAATAATATTCCCACTGATCTACACAAAATACATGTGCACATAAGTGTCTATGTGTGTGTTTGGATGTATATTTAATATTTTATTAGTAAGCTAGTCTAGACTAGCTAAGTAAGGTTTTCATTTTGTGGTGCAACTAATGTTTTTACTGTCTTTGGCTGTGTCTGACAGCAGTGCATGTTTGTCGTGGATGGTAGACGGGCAAAAAAACAAAAAACAGAGGAATCATGCATTTATTTGATGGGTCAGAAATGATTGTATTGTATTATATTATGTCTCTGACTGCAAACATCACACCATAGATATGTCTCAATTCAGGGTCTGCATCCTTCAGAGGACGCGGCATACATGGCCCACAAAGACCTCCTCCTTCATGGGCCACGTAGACCGACCAAAATGAGATGGTCTGGTCTACAGAGGATTTCCGTGGTCAGCTGTCCTGCCCTTATTGCTGTTGCCTAGCAACAGAGCTGAAGTTGGACGCCCCAAAATGTTAATGCCTCTTAGATTTTTGACATATGTACTATTAGCTGTACAGCTGAGTTGAAGCCTGATACTCAAGCATTGGACGTCTCGTTGCTTGCCAGCACCGTTGCCTTTTTGAAAAATGGTCCTTCACTGAAGTGCGATGAAACCTGGATAGGTTACGGTCTACAAATGCAGGCTCTAAAGGATGCAGCCATTGAATTTGGACACTGCTTATGCCTGACTGGTCCTTTAGTCTGACCACTTCTGCTAAAAAGAAGGAGAAACTCAGGGATACTGGAGGACAGAGTATGTTGCCATTGTAACCGACTGAGTCAACTAACTGAGTTTTCCCTAAACTTGCTTTCTGAAATAGGGTTTGGTCGCCATGAACAAATTAAATGACCTTATACATTCTGGAGTGTGTGTTTGTTGTGTTTATAACACTGTGTACGTTGTGTGTCTCTTCAGTCATGAGCGTGTTGGAGGTGAAGTTCATCAGTGATGGGGACGTTCTGGAGCACATCGTGGACAAACAGGAGGGTATGGAGCGCAGAGTCACTTCAGTGTGTTCGTTCTGGATACGTTCATTGACTCCTCAGTCTCTCTGACCTCCTCTGTGTGTGTGTGTGTGTGTGTTGTGACGTTCAGGTGTTCAGAGTAATGGTGGCTCTGTGCAGAAGATGGTAACGTTTAAGAGCCCAGCAGGACGGCGGGCCAGAGTGGAAGCAGAGGATGATGCGGATGAAAATGGAGTCTTGGACGAGCAGAATTATATTCAAGCTTTAGGGACAGACAATACAGAAGGTGAGTGGGACATTTGTAATCCATGAAAACCCACTGTGGGTGGTGAACCTTGCTGATAGGCAACCCTTTTCAATTTAGAATCTATAAATATATATGTTAGCTGGATCACTTATTTTCCTATAGTTTATATTTAAACTTTTCTGGAGCCACATAATGCAAAATTAGAATAGCAATACCTCCTGCGCGGCACAACAGCCCCCTTATGAAACCACATTTAAATTCACTAAATCTTTTATTTGTATCTGCACCAAAGTGCACACACATAAATATCAGTCCCTTAAACATGCCAGATTTTTGTTTTTATCAAGATCCATAAATTGTTCTCTGAGGAAAAAGTGTTACAAAATGCCCTGTAATATCCCAGATCTGCCCACTGATTGGGATTCTCACCATACTTGAAAATGTATGTCATGGAAATTGGTTAAGTAGTTTTATGCAGTGCTTCCTCCATCATACACTTTAAACACATCAAGATACAGGAGGAGCAGCTGGAGATCGAACCACAGACCTTCTGGTTAGTGGACGACCCTCTCTACCTCTCATTTATATCAATGCAGAAAGGTGGGGGAGGTACTCAAAAGTTGTTATTATTATTATTAAACACATGGTCAACCACTCTACTTCTTCCTGGTACAGCCTATATTAACATAAGTGCTGGAGATGATGATATAAAAGTAGTGATTCTAAGTGATGCTGTATTTTCTTTTCTCGGTTTAACAGAGGACGATGAGGGAATGTCCAGAGTGGCTGGATCCTCCATTTTCACCTTTCAGAAAGTCAAACGAGGCCACAGCATGGCTCAGACTGGTGAGAACCTCCACTCACACACTTATTATATTGTGTAACATCAACTAAATTTATCAGATGGTTATTAACTGTTTTCAGGCTTTACACAAGTTTTTGTGTTTTTTTTACATAGCAAGTGAGTTGGCGCGGACTCCCGGAAAAAGCGTGAGCTTCAGCAAGAACCCTAACGTTGAACCCTCCACTCCAACTAGAACAGGACGTAGTGAGTCCAGTACATCTTACCTATCTCCTTGTGTCCATCCCGTCTTTTGTCCATTTACACCCAACTAAATCTATTCTTCCTCTCTCCCTTGCTTTATAGACCACCGAGGTGAAAGCAGGACACCACAGAGGGTGAGACTCGAAGGCTTATATTTTTTTCTTGTAATTTTTCTCTCAGCTGTAGCTCTGCTGCTTTGTTAATGATGTTTTTTTCAGTGTGACCTTTGCTTCATGTATGACAGAACAAGAAGGTGCAGTTTGTCTCTACAACACCCCACAGGCTCAGGAAGAGAATCACAAGTGAGTTTATGTTACAATCAAAGTAGCCTCTCTAACACCTCTAACACCCTCTATTTAAGGATGAATTTTATTTTGTCTGATATTTTCAGATCCAAGCCTTCGCTCTGACAGCGACAGTGAGCTGTCGCCCTCAGACTCTGGTGAGGACGATGAAGATCAAATGGAAGAAGAGCAGAAAGTGAAGAAAGACGATAAAGAAAATGTGAAAACTCCACGAACACCAAGTAAAGTTTTATCTGCAGCTCTCTACAAGACTCCTGCCAAGAGGAGTAAGAGCACGCCTGAGCCCGTCAACCAGCTCAGTATGGTTGACGAGTATTTTGAGGCCCATGGCAGCTCAAAAGTCTTGACATCAGACCGCACCCTTGAGCGTTTAAACACCCCTAAACTGGACAGGGTCAGTGCACTGCAGCCTCTAGCCTACATGTTATTAAAGCTGCTGCTTTCCCAAGTCTCTGAGCTAGAATTTCTGATTGTTTGTTCTAATAGGAGACGTTGGTGCAGCTTTTAGACGGAAAGCCGTCAGGCTACGTAAAAGAGATCCAGCAGCTCCACAGCAAACATCAAAAGCACTTCAGCAAATGGATGTTACAGTTACAGTAAGTGTGAATGTCTTTATTGATTGCTTTTTCTTAGCTTAGTGGGTTTTGCTTGTGTAAACTGGTAGAAGTCGTAAGGTTTGTGTGTTTGCATGTAGGTTGGGCTTCAGTGTGCTCGTCTATGGTTTGGGGAGTAAAAAAGCTCTGCTGGAGGACTTCCGTGTGTCTCACTTGGCTGAAGAGATCCACCTTGTGGTTAATGGATTCTTCCCCTCCATTACTCTCAAATCGGTCAGTATCATCGTAAATATCAATATCATAAATTAAAGTCTTTACCTGGAGAAAGAGTGGAACAAAAGTCAAAATGAGTCTACAAGTTGAAATTTCAAAGAAGAAACAATATTGATCATGTTGGATTATTTGGTTTTCTTCATCAATGCTTTCATTGCAGATCTTAAATGCTCTGACATGTGAGATTCTGGAGCACCAGGGAAGTTTCCGAACACCTTCAGACCAGATCCAGTTTATCGCTCAGACCCTTAAAGACAGTGAGTGTGTCTCTGACCCTGTTTAGACATGTTATTAATGACCGTCATGAGTAATCCCAGCACAAGTGATCAGCGCTGAATACAAGTCTGAATGCACTCAAGTGCACGTTAATGTGTCCTGGGCCACATATGAAAGACTGCCTACCCAGCTGATGCCTCTGCAGTTTCACAATGTGCAGAACAGATTTTTATTTTTCTCTGAACACCGATAAATGGGTAAAATCTTTATATATAGCTGCAGCTCATTGATTCATTCAGACCCTCCTGACTCCTCTATCTCTACGCTCCCCATTTCTCTCACTTGCTCGCTCGACACAGACGCACGCACTCTGTGACAAAGAAGATGTGCCTGCATCCTTTAGAGGCTGCATTTAAAGGTAGATTGTGTCACAGCAGCGTGGTGCAATTAGGCTGTCTAATTTCGAGTCACATACAAATGCGTCCTTCCATCCCTCAAAACAGCGTCCAGGATTCATTGCGATTCAGCGATGAACCTTTTTTTAAGAGGTAATGCTGTGGGCAAGCGACGGGATATCTGATGCATACTGCAAGTATCATGCTTCAACTCAACTGAAAAGCTCATGGTACACACTTTAAAAACCAAGAGACATTAAAATGTTCTGTTCATGAATGCATCGTTTGAAGGAGGTAGCCCTGAATTGGGACACAACTACACGAATACATCTGTAAACTCACTCTGGGGGAAAAAAATGCATCATTTGATCTTCATGAACACAAATGAAGTATATAAATTATCTCTGTCATATAGCTTGTGTTGCTTGGAATTGTTTATCTTACAATGAAGCATGTTCTCACAGGCCCAGATCTTCATGTGTACCTGCTAATCCATAATATCGATGGACAGATGCTGCGCGGAGAAAAGATCCAGAGTGCACTGGGGCAGCTGGCATCCCTCCCGAACCTGCACTTAGTGGCTTCTTTAGACCACATCAACGCTCCATTGGGTGAGTGCTTGTGTGTGTGTATACTAACAGGGTTAATTATGTTGCGATGGACGCTTGCAGCTGAAAGTGTCCTGTGTTTTCAGTATGGGACCAGTTTAAGCAGAGTCAGTTTAACTGGCTGTGGTGGGAGTGTGTGACGTTCCAGCACTACGCAGAGGAGACGTCGTATGAAAACTCTCTCCTGGTGCAGCAGACTGGCGCGCTCGCACTGTCCTCCCTCACACACGTGCTCCGTAGCTTGACATCCAATGCGAGGTACCACACACCTGATGATACGAAGAGCTGTTAAATGGCTGATGTATTGTTTTTAGAGTTCACATGGATGCGTCTTTTCTTTTTGCAGAGGAATTTTCGAACTGCTGGTGAAATTTCAGCTGGAAAACAAAGACAATCCTTCATATACAGGTACACTAATGTTCAATTCTTCAAAATGCTGAACAGATTTTTCCCTAAAATTTCTCCAGAGTTTGTCTTTCACACATGAACAATGCAGTGGGAGATTCTGCACAGATGCAGATCCAGAGTTATTATTAGGAGGAGAAAGAATGTCCGGAGGCTCTCACTCAGACATTCATGTTCTCACATACAGCCCCTCTGGATAATTTCAGGAATTTATCCGGAGTTCAGTACATGTCTGAAAGCATTTTATAGTGATGATTTTAAAGTTTTCCTGTTGCTATGTGCAGGATTGTCATTCCAAGACTTCTACCAGCGTTGTCGAGAGGCTTTCTTGGTCAACTCCGATCTCACTCTGAGGACTCAGCTGACAGAGTTCAGAGACCACAAACTGATCCGCACACGCAAGGTGGAGCTCTGTTTAGTTTTCAACTTATAACCTTATAACCCTATTCAGACTCTAGTGTCCCTCACTAAAATATATTTCCATGATTTTCAAGGGTGCAGATGGAGTGGAGTACCTGCTCGTTGCTGTGGATGCGAGCACGTTGATGGACTTCCTGGAGAATGAGGAGGGCGACTGAAAAGTGGAAGCTTGAGACTCCTGTTAAATTGAGTTCATGAACTGGCTCTCACAGCAGAGACACTTTGACTGGATCAGTCACTGATACAGAGGCTTAGTTACATCTGCTTCCAGGCTCTGCACAGTTTGAATCAAATTACTGATGAACTGTTGTCCTAAATGTCCCTTTGTAGCATTGTGATATTCACTCTGTTTGAATGTGTTCAGAATGTTTTCTGCCAACATTTGTGTAATTAAACTGAAACACTGAAAGTTAATGTATTGCAATTTATTCTCTCTAATTACAGAAATAGATTTCCCTTTAGCAAAACATACATTCTTTTGTTCTTACAAGGCAGGTAGGCATGCTGCTCCAAAACAAAAAACAAAGCCAAAGAAATGATTCAGTTCTCTTCCATGTGACGTGCAATGAAGACGTGCTTATTGAAATCAGAAGGAGCATGTGTGGGGGGTTAGAACCATAGACCTATGGATATGGACAACACATCTTCACTTCCTCCCACTATCCAGAAATGAGGCTAAAATATTTAAGATATGAACGCAGCCATCTTGCACATTTAGAGCCAGATTCCAGTAGTGATCGAGGCATGGCGCCGCGGTAGCGAGTTCCTTACATTAATTGGCAAATCATGAGTCAGTTTCAGCTGTTAATCAATATTTTTCACCCTGTTTTAATAGATTGAAGACTTGAACTTACATTATTAGGATACGATTCAATCCACTTACATGGAGGAAACTGGGTTTATGACCTTTACTGCAGCCAGCCACCAGGGGGTGATCAAGATGCTCTGGCTTCACTTCTGGGGAGCTGATATGTCATCCATCTTTATATACGGTCTATGATTCGGACCATGTTGTTTCAGTGTTGGATGTCAGTGGTTTTGTGTGACTGCAATGAATCTTTGAGTGTTTCTGGGTCCAGTGTGTACGTCTGGAGTCGGTTCTGTGTTGCTGTTTGCAAAATGTGAAGCTCCTCTTCATCCAAATCATTCAGCAGCAGCAGAACTGCATCAAGGGTGTGTGTCTGAAAATACATTTACAGTGATCAGTTAATGGCTGACATGTTTAGAACATTTATCACACTTTGAGTTTTGTTAAAGATATGAGAGGCTACCTTTTTCGTAGATAATTTGGTTTCTCTGGGTGATGGAGAGGAAAGAGAGGAGAACTTGTCTCTGGAAAGGGGCTTCATCCCCAACTCTTCCCTGATTTTACTAAAAAAGAAAGGAATATGTTATCTTAACATTAAACATTAAACTGGCATCTTTTTCAGCCAAGGCTCCTATAATAACCTCTGCTTGTTTGTAAGCAGGGTAACACAAACTTCTGAGCGGATTGCTGTTCAACTTGGTGGACGTATGTGGTATGGGTCAGGTAAGAAGCTATTCAATTTTGATTTAACATGTTGTGATTTTCACAGAGAATATTTATTGATATTGATGAAAGACAGGCACATTTAGGGGACTGATATCAATGAGTGTGTTCAATTTAGTGCAGCTTGATTGAATGAAAGGGGACAGTTGGGCCTTGGGAGAGGTATGAGCTCTACTGAGTGCTAGTCTAGAGCACTTGTGTATATTGGTGATGTTTACTTGGTCTCCTCCATGTTGTAGTTGAGCGGGTCATTCTCTGTCTCTGCTTCTGGAAGTCCGTTTGTAGAAAGCGGGTTTTGGATGCTGTCTGGTGGCGTGGTGACCACATCACCGTCCATCATAGCGAGTGCAATCTCATCCTCTGTCACTACTGCACACACAAAACATCATACACATCACAGGTATGAGCTTGCCATTGTTTTGTGAACTGCTGTTTTCAAGGTAAGAATGAACCTAAAACTTTAAAGCCAATATGAAAATTTGAAAAATGAAAACTGATTTTAATGAAGGTAATGTGATCTGATCAGCATCTGAGGTAAGATTGCCTCCCCAACATACAGATGTGCCTTAATACAATAATTTCTAATCTCATCACAGGTCTTTGTTTGATCCAAATCACCTTGAAAATATCACAGTCATCTGCAAACTCACCCTGGTTGTCCAGCCTCTGGAGACGAGGCAGGCAGCGCAGCACAGTCAGCCGATAATGGCTGGACTCAGTTCCACAGCAGGGGTTCTCGGCCAACCAGAGCACCCGGAGACGTGTCAACGTGCGCAGGTGAAAGAGCTCGGATAGAGAAGGAATCATGTTCCTCCTCAGATAGAGCTCACACAGAGACAGACAGTCAGCCAGAGGAGCAAGAGACGAGATGCTGTTGACACTGCAGAGAGAGGAAGGAGAACACAGCCAGGATTCATTGTTGTTAATGCAGAATGAATCAGTGTAACAGTAATGTCAGTGTGAACAGTAACCGTGTGTCCGACCCACCTCAGTGTCAGCACCTTAATGTTGGGCATTTGGGAGAAGATAGAAATCTGGAGGACAGATTATAAAGGAACATTCATATTATAAACAACAGAGAACAATAGAAGTCAGATTGGGTTTTAAGAGTACATTTAGTGTCAGAACAGTGATGGAGGAAGTATTCAGACTGTTGTATTCAGCATTAACACATCTGGAGGAACATTGTTACACTGACATCGGTAAAGTAAGTGCAGCTGTCAGACTAATGTGGAGTAGAAAGTATAAATGCCATTACTAATGAAAAGTACAAGCAGTACTTGAGTAAATGTACTTAGCTACTGTCCCCCATTGCACCAGAATACATAAGATATCCATCAGCTGTTTCAGTACTCACGTCAGTAATGTTGCATCCCCTGCAAACGATAAAAAGCAACGTTACCACAAATAGAATATGTAGAAATAAAAGCTGGAGCTGTCATGAGCTCTGACGCCAGAGGGGAGCTGCTCCGATGTAAACACGTACCAGCAGTTTAGTTTCTTCACGCTGTCCAGGTCGGAGGCCTTCGCCTTAGCGAGCACCAGTTTCCGCGTTAGCTTCATATCCGCTAACCGAGTCTACGATAAATAATTTAGCTAAAGTTTAATATCTTCACTAACGACAAAAGCCGCATTATGTCGAGCGGGCAAACATTTCAACTCTGCAGTGAGGATGTTGTCGTCCATCACAGGAGTGCGCATGCGCGGATCGACTGAAGCGTCCCTAGTTACGAGTTCCTTCATTTATTTTTTATAATTTTATAAAGACTTATTATTCATTTTTACTCAAGCAGTGATGATTTAGCTGTTTATTCTGGGTGAAGTTTTATCTAAATGTCTTGCATGCGATTATCGTAAAAACTCCATGTCCCACAATGCAGCGGAATGGAGTGGGTAAATCGCGCCTGCGCACTGAGCTCTCTCTCTTTGGACCCACGTCTCCACTGAAAAGATGGTGAGCGAAGAACGTCCGCGGTCTAATCCACCTCAATCTGAGGGTTTCTGTGCCATAAATGCATCAATGAAATATTCTGTAGAATTGTCATGTTCCCTATTTTACACCCGATTGTTTATTGTGTTCGTTTAGTGATCGTGTTGACAGAAAAACCGATGTTTTCATGTCCCATTGAGACAGAAATGGCCGCCACCATAGCTACACTCACTAGGTGTTAGTGCCGGGCAGGCTGGTCGTGTTAGCTGCACTGTGGCTAGTGTTAGCTCACACTTCATGTTCATCAGGGGAGCGGCAGTTTTAAAGTCAAATGGAATATTCTGATCTAACCGGAGCCCGTCGTCTCCTAACTTAGTACGGGGTTGTTGAATTGGTTGAAGTTAGCTATGTGGCTAACATGCTAACGAAAGCTTGTGAAATATAGCTGGTCACACCACTGCTGAAGGGAGCTAGGTTCTACTGATGCTGCCTGCAAGTAGAATATGTTCAATAATAAAATAGGTGATGCAACATGGTGTTTTCTCCAACACACAGCTGGTATTTTTTAATACATATATTTTCAAAGGGTTATTTGAGCTCAGATTTGCTATAAACTATTCAGGACACTGTTTACACCCATTTTAACCCTGAAATGTTCTGATGGAAACTCAATGACAGATCTGTCCGTAGTCCTTCAGTATTATGTCTGCACTTTCGATAATGTTGCTCATTGTGTCATTGTATGTTCCTGTCCACAGGCCAAGCGCACCAAGAAGGTGGGGATCGTTGGTAAATACGGCACGCGTTATGGCGCGTCGCTGAGGAAGATGGTGAAGAAAATTGAGATCTCCCAGCATGCAAAATACACCTGCTCCTTCTGTGGCAAAGTAAGGACAGCCCTGGGGATGATTAAGAGTTCTGTTGATGTTGTGCAGAAAGTGGTGTTAATAACCCTCTCATTGCAAGGCAAATGGACTGAATGTATACAATGCTTTTCCAGTATTGATGACTCAAAATGCATTTACACTGACCCATGCAGCTCTTCCATTTCACACCATTCATACACTCAACTGTTGAGGGGCCATTTGGTGTCTTAGTTAAAGTATCTTGTCCAAGGACTGGAGGAGCTTTGGATCAGACCACTAGATGGCTGAGATTGATGTTTGAAGTTGACACAAATTTAATTAGGGTGTGTTTTGAATCTGGACATTGAGATGTCTTTATGTGGCATTAACCTGTTTTACTTATATTCACAGACCAAGATGAAGAGGAGGGCTGTTGGTATCTGGCACTGTGGGTCCTGTAGGAAGACAGTGGCTGGAGGCGCCTGGACGTACAAGTAAGTTTCTCTCTGTCCAGTGAAATGACACAATGAAGTAGTTTCTGTGGATGAGATTTGGTTTGAGAACTGCAGCGTCAACTGTTCAATCATGTTTCAGCCCTCAGCATGAACTCTTGACATGAAAACAGGACCATAATTTCAACTGTGTGGGATAGGTTTTGCAAATGATACTGCAATTTCAGGGTTAAATCCTTTGATATTTAAATTATAGGACAGTTTGGAGATACCTGTGCTCTTTAGAAATTGGAATTAATTGGTTATTGCCTCCCAGGTAGTAATGCATTAATTCAGTAGGTGTATATGTGAGTGGAGAAAACTGTTAATTATACAGCATGAAGCCTAATTGAAATTGTAAAGCCATTGCCTTGTTAGACTCTAATATGGAAGATATGTTTTTTTGCAACATTCAAAACAATATAAATCCTTTTAAACGCAGTGAAACGCAAAGTATATTTTAATACATTCAATGCTGACTAAAAACGCTCACCATGTTGAGAGGGTTAGGGTTAGAGAGAACTTCAGTTTTATCCTGTGTCTACCATAATATAAACTTTACATACCCTTTTTAGTTTCAGCAGAACCAGGAAGTAGAATGTCACATTTGTCAATTTCAATTTAAGAAAAAGGGAAATTATCCAGATTTTCTTAATTTACTTTTTGTGTAGCCAGTTTTTCAAGTTAAAGAAATATATTCTGTTGAAACAAACTTTGTTGGAGTTGGTCTAATCATTAAAATGCACCTTTTGTAAGTAATATTTTTTTGTATTTTTCAGCACAACTTCCGCTGTCACAGTCAAGTCCGCGATCAGGAGACTGAAGGAGTTGAAGGACCAGTAAACCAGTGAATCAATCACTGGTGGATATGGGACTTAGTTTTCTATAAATCAACCGGCTGGACATGACAACGTCTCAAAATAAAGCGGTCTGGAGTGGAATCCCTTGTTTGTCTCTTTGTTCATTTGCCTTATAATGTAGCACTCAAATTAAAACATGGGTGATATCACAGAAGAAAGGGTCTTCTCCTGTCCTGCATGTTTGCAGACAACACCTGCACTGCTCCTTCAGTAAATTTGGTGAGTAACCCACAGATTTCAGTGGTGTCACTGAGTTAAGGGTGCTGTATTTACCCAGTGCTCTCTGCCCAATACATCTGCAGCAAATTGAACACTGACTCAGATCAAAGGGGTAACATATGCTGATAAAACTGAAATTATAAATGGTCGTTTGATAAACACTCATGTTTATGTTACTTCTGGAATACAGATATGTTTAAATACAGGTACTGGCTTGACCGATACCAGGTTTAGCATCAATAAAGGCTGCAGTCCAGAGGCAGATACTGCACAGCTCTTAGGAAATGTGTAGGTGGCAGGAACAAATGAAGGACTGTAAAATGTTGTGTTCCCCTTTAGAATTATTTATCTTACTTGCCCTGTAGCTCATTCTCAACGGAAGGACATCTGTTCAGAGTTCCCAACAATTCATAAAAATTAATGTGAAATTCTTGTGATTGAGTAAAATGCAACAGAATGTTTGATTGTTTTAAGTTTGTGTTCTGTTTTATTTCATAAAGCAGTTCATTATTAATCTTAATTAAAGCATGATGGTCCCAGATCTAATTTGTTATAATATTTTGAGATAAGCCTTTTATTGCCTCCTCACTAAGGCTAAGTGTTCCAGGCAGCACAAGGTAGGGAATAGCACAGGCAGTTAGAACCAAATGGGAGGAATACGTGTATAAAATAAAAATGCACAAGGGAAGCCATATGATAAACAAGAGCAATATACATACATTTAAACCAACTTTTTACAGTCTAGAAGTTGAATGAATAGTTGAAGAAAAAGTAAATATAGATCTTGGTATTTTCTACTGTCCGGCACAACAGAAAAGCCTGCTGTATATATACAGTATATATGATAAATAGGTCATGATCATCTGAAAATTTAAACAATTGCTGAGATTAATAGAAATAAAGTGTTGAATATTGATTTTATCTGTTTCCCACCTTGTTAAGTCATTGTTGATAATGATTGTGAGAAATCATTAACGTGATCAGTGTCTTCACATAGATGAGTATCATTTATCATTAATAATATATAACTAAAGGCAAACTGAGCAAATTGGTTATTTCAGAAGAGTGTATCAAACTGGTAGCCCTTCGTATGACTCAGTACCTATTAAGTAGCTCTCAGTTTCAAAAAGGTTGGTGACCCCTGTTATAAACTGTGATAAAATCTTTATATACAGTCTATGAAACCAACGAGCAAATCGCGTAAACCGGAAGTGTTTACTCGATTTTATTTTGTATTTTTTGCCTGAATTTCTTGTCCGGGGAGCGGAGCCCGGACCGGAAGCGGCCTCACAGTGGAGCTCTGCAGCCAGGCCCACTCTTGCTCTGCAGCGTCAGAAACAAGTATGGCGGCCTCCAGTGTTTTCAGACCGGGCTTGTTCAACAACAAAGTCGCAATAGTGACGGGAGGAGGCACCGGTATCGGTAAAGCTATTTCTGCTGAGCTGCTGGAGCTGGGTGAGTGGAGCGTGCACGAGGCTCGGTCCTCTCAGCGGGTTGCTGTTGTTGAAGTGAACAGCATGTGTCTGACTGTCAGCAGCACCCAAGTGAACTTCGACACACTTAGACACTTGGTGCTGACGACACCAGTGGCACAGTTTAAATCCAGCGGAGGCACAAACTCAAACTGCAGTGAGTTTTAAAGCACGATGGAAACATTGGCAGCACCTGTCAATGTAACAGAGAAATCTCAGTACGGTCAAAGAATGTTTAATACACATGTACTCCACCATTGATACTGCTGGATGAAGATCATTTTCACATGATGATCTGAGATGATAAAAAAATTCACTGGATCTTCAGTGGCTGCTGTAACAGGAGCAGTTATTCAAAGCGTCTTCACTTAGGAAAATTTAGAATACGATCTCCTATTTGTCACAGGTCAATTAAAGATCAATATGAGATTCATATTATTTTCTCATAATTCTTAAATTTGCTTCCTGAAAAATAGCCCTCCTCTTGTCTCAGCCTGATCCTAAGTTTCAAATTTGAAATGCTCCTGTTTCTGTCTCCCTCCACTAATCTTTATTTGGCTCAAATAAGGAGATTCTTTAGATTTAAAAAAAGTAATTTGATTGGCTTTACACATGAGCCTCTTCAATAGCTGACATTTGTCTTAGTGATACAAAGAAGAAAACTCTGAGAAACCAACGAGCACAGCAGAAAAACTCTTTGTCATGAACTTGAGTCTTGGATTCATCTTATCTCTGCTTCTTATTTCTCTGAAGGGAGATTTAGGAGAAACTGATCAGAATTTAGAAATGTTCCAATAAGAAGATGCTAAATTTCTCATGAGTTAAAGAAGAGACGGTTGTGGGCTGCAAACCTTTCCTCAGGGTAATCACAACACAAGCTTATAATCAGCAGCTGTTTTTCAAGATGAACTGACTACATTTCTCACTTCAGGCTGCAGTGTGGTGATCTCCAGCAGAAAGGCTGAGAGGCTGGAAGTGGCAGCTCAGGAGATGAGACAAAAAATCCCTCCCTCCAGCCCTGCACGCGTCACTCCTATAACGTGCAACATCCGCAGCGAGGACGAGGTGAGCCTCCCTCCAACCCCATGTTGATCGTGCATCATCAACTGGTTGTATGGAACAATCTTTTTTTTTTTCACTCCCTGTGCTGCAGGTGAAGGCTCTCATGTCCTCGGTGCTGAAGCAGTTTGGCCGGATAGACTATCTGGTGAACAATGGCGGAGGTCAGTTCAGCAGCCCAGCAGAACACATGTCCTCCAAAGGCTGGAAGGCGGTGATAGACACGAACCTGACTGGAACCTTCCACTGCTGCAAGGAGGGTGAGCTGCAGGCAGCGAACACCAAGTTAGTGTGTTTTGAAATTCTCGCTTGTGACTGTGTTGCCGTCCTCTCCACTCAGCCTACACTGCATGGATGAAACAGCACGGAGGTGTGATTATCAACATCATCGCCGACATGTGGAAGGGATTCCCAGGCATGGCGTAAGCTCCACCTCCCTACAGATTCACACACAAGCATACAAACTCGCACGCTCTTTCCCTGAAACACCTCTTTCCTGTGCAGTCACACAGGAGCCGCGAGGGCAGCGGTGGACAATCTAACCAAGACTCTGGCCATCGAGTGGGCCCAAGCAGGAATCAGAGTCAACGCTGTGGCACCTGTACGTACCGGTCACCGGTGCAGAATCAGGTTTCTTTTAATTAAGTGGCAATTTCATGCCTGTGCATTTTTCTGGTTGCAGGGTACAATCTTTTCTAAAACTGCAATGGAGAACTACAAAGAGCTTGGACCAAGTCTTTTCAAGATGTCTGTTCCACATAGCCCTGCGAAGAGACTGGGAGTACCAGAAGAGGTGTGTTAGTACTGAGTGACACAATAACTGCAACTTCATAGTGTTAAATACATCTATCTAACTATCTGTCTATCCACAGAAGGTCTTTACTTTGCAGATCACCTTTTCAGTTTCAGAATGAATGCTGCCACCTGCGTTACCAGGCAGGTTCAGAACAGGCTCTGCGCTAGTTATCTAAATAAGTTCCTCAACTAGACTGTAGCTGCCACGTTCAAGTATAGTGTAAAGTGAAAATGTTCAAATTCTTTAATCACAGAAAGTATGTTTTTTGCGGAATGATCTGATAATGGCCCTCTTATCTGCTTATAAGTTTGGATCAACATCTCCGACTAACTGAACATCATGATACAGTTTGTGGCAGAGCTTTTGCATTGCATTGCATTTGAGTGTAGAGGTGCACCTAATCTACAGTCAGTGGCCATCAACTATATATGATCATTTGCTCTGTGAAGAATCAGTGCAATCATAGCTGACACTGCTTATTAAAAACACCACACGTCAATAACTGTTGTCTGGCCTTGTAATATCTCTGTTTCTCTGCAGATCTCATCAGCTGTGTGCTTCCTGCTCTCTCCCGCTGCCTCCTACATCTCTGGAGCCACTCTGAGGGTTGATGCAGGACAGAGTCTATACCACTCCATGTGGGAGATACCCAGTATGAACACTTTTAAGATACAAGCATCCATTCTTCTACACTTTTATCGTTAATGCATGTTTGCAGTATGTTCTAACTTCTTGTTTGTTTTTCTCCAGACCATAGTTCTTGGCCTGAAGCCCCAGAGGGCGAGAACCTGGATGCTCTGAAAGACCTGCTCCACCCACAAAGCAAACTGTAATGCAGTCTGACTATAATACATTAAGGCACAATTAGCCAATAGGCATCATGGATGTTTTTTGATTATTCCAGTTGTGTACATAATTGTTTTTGTAACAGCAACATTAGTGCATTATTTCTTGGCTAATTGTGGGTGACATAAAATATGAAGCGCAATTTTCTTTCTCAAATCACTTTGTAATTAAACATACTGCTGTTTAAAACAATTGCCAAATTGTTGCAAAGCGCTTCGCAAAAAAACAACACAAGAGACACAAGCAAGAATGTAATATTTGTAAATAATTCTGGAAAATGGTGAAAGTCTTTGAAAATGTCTTTGACACGCGGTTATAATGTATACTGACACCATCTTAGTGGAACATGTTACCAAACACATCTTTGTATAAAATCATGACATGTTATGCTGTTTTTTCTTTGCATTTTAATTTGAAGGGGATGATACAGATGTAAAAAATGTTGTCATTAAAATAGTAAAATAATAAAAAATATATATTTATATCACAAAAAATGTCAGTGGATGCAAATTACTTTTAAAACAGCCTACTAGAAGATTTATGATGGGATAAGTGTGTACTTTAAAAACATTTTGAGTTATCTCTTAGGATCCTGCATGTTAGTAACATCTTGGAAACGATTCATGATAAATGTGGGTTATTAATATTCTGTTCTATATTGTGAAGCTCAAACAGCTTCTGCCTTATCATTTCCATAAACCATCAAACTGATATTGCAACAGCAATAAAGGAAAAGGTCGAAACCCTAATAGTGTAATGTTAAGAATCTTTGATATTAAATGGAGAAACCGCAGAGTTTCTGAGAATCAATGGATGGGCTCTGCTCTGCTCTCCACAGACAACCGCGTTCGTGTTTTGGTCCTGGCGCACTGCCGTAGCTCTGTCGTAAATTGTCGCTGTCTGTCGCAACGTTTAGTCCAGCAGCAGAGGTCACAACAAACCGCTCAGGTACGTGGGTTTTCTTCATAAATCTGATTTCATCATGGCATCTGCTCACTCTGTCTCACTGGATGATACCATATCTGTACACACGAAGACTTACGTCAACAAAGTGTCAGAGAACAGTTGTATTCACGAGGCGTACGATCGTAGCTAGCTAGCGTAATGCTATCCAGCTAACGACGTTCGCCTCCGCCACACATTCAAGTTCTCATCATTTGATTTCACGATGTATGGAATGAACGTTTACTTTATTCTGCAGTTTACCAGAGAAATCAATGACAGTGATTGGTTTCAGAGTTGATAACTTTAGCCTTGTGTCAGATGATCAGTGACGACCCCCAGTGTCTGCATGTCAAGTTTCTCATACTGACAGTGGAGGTCCCCCATGAACAAGAGTGAGGTGAAGTATCTGCGTCACCTCTCCAGGAGTTTAAAAAAAGAATATTTAACATGATCAGGTTATGAGTGCCACATGAACAAGCAGCCAACTATGCCTTTCATAATTTTCATATAAATCATAAATATATATATCTGCAACCTATGACGTTACAATATGTTGACATCATGAAATTACATTATTCCAAAACTTCCCGAATAGGATTATACACAGAGCACCCGCACTGTACATTATTTGCTCTCTGGTTCTTATGATTTTATTACAGTTTCTTGTCTTTTGCACAGATTATCACATTTATGTGAAATACAAATGATAGACACAGAGCACTGTGTTCTCCAAAACGTTGCTCATGTAGATAATATGCCCTCAAATCTTACCTGTCACTCCAAAGTGTTTCCTCACTTCCTCATTATTTCTGGATGTAAACAAAGACAGAAACCAAAGATTGGGCAGTAATGTGATGGGGCTGTAACCTTTAGTCATGAACTGAGGAGAATGCCCACAGGTCCAGACTTTCTCTGGAGTTTGCTTTTCACATGTAAATAAAGCAGCAAGAGAATCTCTGCTCAAACCTATATACAGTCTATGGCTCAAACGTGTGCAGAACAAAACAGTAATCTCCCGAGCACTCAGGTGAGGGGTGGTGCAGAAGCAGGATGTAACGTATAAATTCTACTGTGGAGGTCAAGTGTTTTTGTTTAAAACACATTAATACCAATGCATACAGGTATGATTTTCCCCTCGTGGCTCAGAGGCAGCATCAAACCTTTAATCATGATGCTCCTTACTTCACACGATTGGAGATGTTTTTATGTAATGCTCTGTACTCCTCCGAGTCCACAGAAGATTTTTCCAGTAGTGTTGTTGTGTGTTGTTTGTCAAGGTGTCCTTGGTGGTGGTGCCCATGGTGCACCTACCATGGTCTCTGTGCCAGGTCAATGATTTATAGATGGTAGACTAATTGCAGACATAATTACCAGCTCCCATTATTATTTTTTATCATTTAGCTCCTATTATGTGCTTCACTTGACCTCACTGAGTACTGTGTTTTGTCTATGGAGACCTCTCTGGACTACTTCTGGGCAAAGGAATGAAATCATCTCTGTTTACAGTTTGTCAGTGTGTAAAGATCATTATCTAAACTCTTTGAGATTACTATAATTCTCCAGCTTTATGCAAATCTACAACTGTTAGTCGTAAGTCTTCTGAGGTCTGTTTTTATGAGGCATGGTTCTCATCAGTTCATAATTGTCATGAATAACTAACCCAAGATGTCTGATTGTGAATACTCAGTTAAAAAAATCATGGTTCTTGATGAAAAAAATCAGGCATGTTTCTGATATCTATGAGTGTGTGCAATCTGGATCCAGTGAATTTGAATGTAGTTGCATAAGGGGACTGTTGGGCCTTGGCGGAGGTTTAGCTCTAGTTCACTACTATAACTTAACATTATATCAGATCAAAGACAACCACTGACAAAATGCTTTTGTGTGTGTTATCAGAATGGGAGGTGACCATGGCCACAGCAAAATGTCCATGCCAGACTGGCGGCTGTGGAAGGTGGAGGGAACACCTCTGGAGGTCACAAAGCAGAGGCTGGCAGCCAGGGGCCTCAAGGACCCGTGGGGACGGTCAGTGCCTTTACCTGCATGAGATATACTTGACATTATTGTGTAACTAGTACGCTTCCTGACACTGCTCCCCGTCATTCTCCTCTCTCTCTGCAGTAACGAGGCGTGGAGGTTCTCCGGCGGCTTCGCTCATTCTGTGACTTTTGCAGAGGTGCTGCTGAAAGGATTCAAGTGGGGCTTTGCTGCCTTTACTGTGGCTCTGGCTGTAGAGTACGCCCTGTTCCCACCAAAGAAGGGTGGACACTAATGCTCATCATAGTCCCTCAAAACCACACCATACTGGAGTGTAATATTATGTTTCCTTTATTAAATGTCTTTTTGGTCACCACATGACTTCACTTATTCCTCTTACACACTCTCCCACATTTAAACTGTAAACACTTAGTCCTGTTTTGTTTTCCTGCTCAGTTTCCGGAAGCATAGTTTCATGCATTTTGCCGTCAGTATTCCTAAAACTAGAACAACGGTAGCTAGGAGCGCTATCACGTCCAGGCAGAAGTACTGGATCCAGTTGAGCTTCTGGCTGGCTGATTTAAGATGTTTCGCCCCTTTGTGCCTCATCACGTATTCTGTCCAGTACAGCGCCAAGTCGAGAGGCTCGATCTGCCGGTCTTTATGGATAGCTGACAGCTTCTGCATATTTTCTTTATACCTGGAAACAGACACGTGAAACAGGAGAGTTTAAGATCACAACACTGAAATAAAACAGTTAAAAGCAGACCTGAAAACTGGCAACCACATGGCGACAGCAGTCTCCTGACCCCTCACCTGATGTCATTTATGACCTCATTCAGTCCCTGAAGCAGGATTTCTGTCGTGATAGAATAAATATCCAACTCGACTCCTGCTCCCCTGCTCGCCAGCCTCTTTGCATTGTCAGGTTGGTCCCCCTCTATTGGAAGCATCACCATGGGAACAGCATGACACAGTCCCTCGAAGAGGCCGTGTGATCCAGCATGCGTGATGAAAGCCCGGGCTCCAGAATGTGCTAACAGAAAAATGCACAAGGTTAGTCGAAGAGGCAAAACAATGGAGGATGTCTGAAGATATTTAATATGTGACACATTCACTGACCAAGCAGATCATTCTGAGGCACCCAGCTCATTATCTTCACGTTTTCTGGGACGTTGTCAGGAACCTGACCTGTATATCTCCATATCACCTGTCAAAAAAAGCTGTCTTGTCATTTATTATTCTTTCAATTAGGTAAAATGCGTGTTCGTATGTATTCATTAACTTTTTGTGGAATCTGCCTGAAAGCCTCTAAGAAGATAGACGACGTTTCTTCTGGCAGATCTGATATTATGGTGCCCAGAGTGAACACCACAAACCCGTGCTCCCCTGACACCCAGGACTCCAAATCCTGCAAAAAAAATCAAAACACGACTTTCACTCTTGTTTTTTCATTGTTAAACTGCACTTTAAGTCTAAGTTTTGTCAAATTAAAATGAGCAATTAGAAAATCCACATGCTAAAAATGTCAACTGACATGCCAATAATTAAAAACTTTGAATGATATCCACAAAGCAATACTTTTACAATACTTTAAAAGTGGTATATTTAGTGATATGTTTACATTCACCTTCTGTTTTTAAACAAATATGAATAATGAGTATTCCCTTAAATGTCCTTGCAATTATCTACACTGTTGTGTTTCTCAACTGGTAATGTTTAAAAATAGACCTGTTAACAAATATTTTATATATTTGTAGTATTTAGGAAATGTATATATTAATTTATCTATTCGTTCAAACCAGTAACATGGGGGATCTCACCTCAGGGAGAGGAGCTCTCACATTGCAGTTGATGCCACCAACTAGCACTACATTAGGCATGAGAGGACGTGGGAACTCCAGTGTGAAGTCGATCCTGTATTTGAACACAGTGTCGGAAAATGTGTGAGTGAGATTTATTTGACATTCAGTGGCATGAACGTTGCAAGGAAAGTAAAGCAGCTGTAAAATCTCCCTGTTTAGATTTTATATGAGACCGTCAACCCATGTTACCTCAGCAGCCAGATATCAGAGTCTGACAGCACCTCAGCGATGCCCACCTCCTCTCCTAGGAACTCATAGGCCATTTGGTCAAAATGCCAGTATAGCAGTCGGCAGAACAGCGGCTCCAGCAAAGCTACCTGCATGCGTCAGGAGCAGAAACACATGCACAAAGTGAGGTGATGATATTTGACAGAGCAGTTAATATGCAGTAAATCAGTAAACCTAGTTTAACTGGCCCCTCATGAACTGTGTGACTGCAAATGTGCAGTAAAAAGGAGAGACTGACAACAAGAGCTTCTGCTGTATTAAACAAACCGAATGAACCCAGGGCAGTTTGAAAGTGGCACATTAGTCTAGACAAGGTGCTTCAACATCTCAGAAATACCTGTCTATCTTTTATAGACTTCTGTGACCAAGAAAAAGAAATGAGAAATAGGAAATGTGTGTTATGGAAATTTTTTAGGTTTTGGTCTATTTATCAATATTGTCTCTTTGTTTTTTACTTGACATGCCTTAACTAACTTTCATCTCTGGCCCAGGATGAGACTACATAGAGTTAATTCAGAGGAAGATTATTTAAATCCACCACAAATATTTATGCCCCCCTGGCCCCACCCCTGCACAGGGTCCAGGGTTGAGTTAAGAAGCTAGATAAATAACACCTGGAGGACACTGAGGCGACAGAAAGGAACAACACAACAATGACTCAGTGAGACGTGCCAGGGTGTTTGTCCAATAGATTAGCTCCACGTGACGACTATTGGTATGTGGCGACTGTGACATGGGGAGATTATAATACTCCTTTTTACAAGGACAACTCATCAGCCTGGTTTTCCTGGTGCAGCTGGTTATAAGCATACAAAAAAACACTTAATTTCTTCAAACTGCAAGATTTGCCTCAGTGAGGATTTCTTTTATAGTTGAAGTATCTGTGGTTGTCCTGCTATGTGGCCATTGGTGGTCATTTTAAAGAATAAAAACATTGTTGCCAGTGTGAATCTGCCTACACATGCTCACCAAAGTGTTGACAACTCTCTGCTTGAAGTTCATCGTATCGGTGTATCCAGTGAAAAAGCGCGGCACATATGAAGGCGGGGAGGGGCAGCCAGCAGATTTTATATCCAAGGAACATGGAATTCCTCTCAGTAGATTCACAGTGGGGATGCCTGAAAACGATTCAGCGATGAGAGGGGACAAAACACTGCAGATGTACGAGCATGGAGATAATACCAGTGGGTCAGAACTCACCCAATTTCCGAGCAATCAGTGCCCCTGTTGGGATCAGGGGGTCTGTCAACACGGCATCGAAGCCCTGCAGAGAGAGAGACAGGATGATGGGTAAATCTTTTTTATTGCATCTCAGTTCTCATTTTGATAAATATACTCATAGTCAGCAATAACTCATACAGGAGAAAGGGAGGTATGTTGAAATTGTTCAGCTGGGTCCATAGACTGACTGTCGGCACGCTGCCCTGCTCCCACTGACTGTTCTGGTCACCTGCTTATTACATTTTTATCAATAAAGAATGAATTGCCTGTCCGGATCCCACGAAACTCAGCCCTGAACTTTCTCTGGCAATATACAAAACTGTGTGAAACCAATAAGATGAGCAGTTTGCGAGATATGTGTTCAAGGTACAGACGTTTGTGGAATTAGTTAGTAGATACAACGTTTTATCTCAGTAACATAACCACCTATATGCAATCTGATGCAGCAAGTAGCTCCAGAGGTGTAGCCCATTCAGATTCCTGATAAATGCTGAATTTGTGCAGTTAACATTGTTATATTGGATCTAACTTTTGATCCAGAGGTTGTGTTCAGCCACTGTATTTGCACTCACCTGCTGTGCCAGATGTGAAATGAGGCTGTTATTGAACAGTAGACTCTCTGCTGTGGTGTGGATCACTCCTATCACTCTCTGGAATTGTGAGAATCGTTTCTTCATCTTTTCCATGAAAGGCTGTGCAGATTTTTGTAACCTTTCTTTGTGCATGGACACCACAGAATCAAGATGAGCCTTGTCGTATGGAACGGGATAGGTCACAGTGTCGTAGTGTTTCCCCGGACCCATCCGCATGCTGACCTCTGGTATCACCACGGTGACCTGGTGTCCACGGCGACCCATTTCTTGGGAAATGGCCTTCAGGGTCACCCAGTGGCTCCCATCCATGGGTACCACTAGCAGCTTACCTGAGTATGCAGAGGAGGCAGCATCACTTGGAACAATGGCGTCTGTCTGCTCCTGGTTCTCTGGCTCGTACGTTTCTGTCTCAGTCTCTAAATCACCAATCACCTGCATATCTATGTGTAGCAGCACGAACATTAACACTGCTGCTTTCCACATTGTTCTTGTTTCATCTGTGTCCACACACCTCACTGTGTCCAAGACAGAATTAAAGGTGGAAGAGAGTGAAAGAAAAAACAAGTTAAGAAAACAACCCCCAGGCTGTGCTTAGTTCTTCATGTAGCCAAACACTCAAGTTCCCATTTCTGGCTCTGGATTGCTGAAATTCCTATCAGCTTGAGGTGTGTCCAAAGTCCTTGTTTGAATATCAACCAGAGTCCAGGCTCAAAGTTTGCTGCAGTTTTATTGTTACACTGTGAGTCTGTTGCAGGGGGGGTAACTTGTGTAGAGTTACAGTGGAGAGAGGGGGGTGATCAGACTGTATGCAAGTTGCAGCCATGATCAAAGGGTGCAGACATTGTTATTTACATTCACAGAGCTTTAAAAGCAGAAGACAGGGGGTTCGAGGGTGGGGGTTTATTATCAAGAAGGGGGGAAGAAAAAGAAAGGGGCACTGTATTCATGAAGGTACAGTTTCCAACACCAACCTGGATGTAAAATGTGTACTCAGACAGTACTTCTCTGGACAAGGGGTTTCTTCCATAAAATGCATACTTTCTTCCTCACAGTCACCATATGCAACAGCTTGAGGGCAGTTATAGGGTTAGGGTTAGTTCCATGAAGGAAAGTGTGTTTCTTGTCTATGGAATGTGGAAATCCTGAAGATACCATGACCTGTGTGACTGAGAATCTTCACAGACATCTATATATGTGTAAAACATGTGGTTATAGATGAACAATACACTGGTTGTTCTAATTTCAATTCATTTAAGTAATATCTGATTTTAATTTGCACATCAATAAGTCTAACCTTTATCAAAATCTTCAATAATGTTTTTTAGAAGAAATATTGGGATTAAACATCAGAGAAGTAAAGTTAATTCTGTTTATATTTATACTGTTCATTCTGTTCATCCCGCCATATCTGCCATATTTATACTCTTTATATCGTCTAGATTTGCCACTGCCTGTTTATATCTTTTAATTACTTATATTTTTTGTATTTCATATTTCATGTTTAACGCTGTTTGCACCAGGGATTAGAGGGAAACGCTATTTCAATTCTCTGTATGTCCTGCACATATGGCAATATTGATAATAAAGTTGACTTGACTTAAAATAATGAAACATGTTTTGAATGATCGGTTCCTGCAGTTCAGAGGCTTGTCCAGCTGAGGGCGGTAGCGTGCCGCTCACTCCCCGCGGCAGAGCAGTAGAAGAAGAATTCTGACCTGCAGCGCGCGCACATTCAGGGAAGTTGTTGTGGAAGAATAAAAGTGAACGTGAGCCCCGCGAGCTTTCTACAGGAGACAGTACGTAAACAAGTCCTACTCAACACACTCTGAGCTGATCTACACTTTCAGGCTGTTTCTAAACCGGCACAAGTTGCGTCAACGGTAAACGTCACGCAGTTCGTGTTAAACTCACAGTGAACCGAGTTTCAGTGAAGATCAGCAGCAGCAGTCTGTTTAGTGTTTACTCTGGATTTTAGTCTTGCTAGCTTTGCCCGGATGCTAACGTGAGCTACTCCAAACCAGTAGTAGTAGTATTTGTATCGATAGCAGTGGTGTGGACAGTTTTCAGTCCAGTGTTTGTTTAAACTCAACGTCAGCCCTGGTCCATGATCATCATGAGATCAGTGGACATTCTGCTTGATTACACAAAGTACATTTTTCATGTATCAGTACTTTACTTGATACTCTATTTACCGGTGCATATCACTGTTACTCCACTACACATATTAACAAATATCTGTACTTCCTACTCCACTACACTTTTTAACATTAGAATGATTTACAATGTTTTTTTAAATATTTTTTTAAAGTAATAAGTAACTCCAGGTGAATAGGTCCATCGTTCCAATCAATGTGAGCCCCCCCCCCCCCGTAGCAGTAGCAGCAGCATCACTGATGAAGACACATCTCACATGGTTTCAGAAGAGGTGGAGACTCTGATTAAAGATGTAGTAGACAGCTGCATGAGAGAACAGGGTTCCCACGCATCCTAGAAAACCTGAAATCTTCTTTTCCAGTCATGTAAACAATCTGGATTTTGGCTAAACTGACCAAAAACCTGACCTGGTTTCTATTTTTCTATTTTAGCCCCATACATAGTTCTCCAATGAAAACTTCAGTGCATTTAAAAAAATTAAACACACTAAAGTAATACTTATACACCACATCTTTTGTCTCACTTGATGGTGTAATCTCTAATGTCGGGAGCCGGTAGCACAAGTTTCTCATTCCCAGTCTAGAATTGTCAGAAGTTTTTTTCTACTTATTCTTTACATTTTTACTTGTGTAAAAAGTTGTACTTCCTGCACCACCTGGAGAACAGGATGTGTTGCAGCATAATTCTGCTTGGTTGCTGGGGCTCAAGGCTAAAGTACAATGGAGCTGCCACACGTGGGCTGCTCTGTGCCCACAGATCACTCTGCTGCTGCTCGGGCTGTTCTGAACCCACATGTTGAGATGTTGTGTGTTATTGACAAAGTTTTAAGCGAGTCACAAGTGACATCAAACAGAAACATGATCATATTTTTAATACCATGCTGTATTTGTAATCTGTTATGAAAGTGGTTTGTTGTCTTCAGATGAGCAGACCTGCATCTGGCAGTGAATCTGAGGCAGATGACTTGGAGTCGCTCAGTCATTCATTGTCTATAAGAGTAGAATATTACAGGTAGGACCCATATGAAACTAAAGAAGGAAAGTCAGATTATGACTCCAGTGAATTATCACATATATGTGAAACCTTACGCTCCTTAATGATCACATGTACGGCACTTTGCAGGTGTGTTATCACAGATTGTCACTTTTTCTCTCTGTCACAGCTCGTTTGAATATTGTCTAAAGTGGAAAGAGTCCATGTATTCCACACGCTCCTCCAGACTCAAAAAGGCCTCTAAGAAGAGCCCTCAGAGAAGTCCCAGCCCCAACAAGGAAGATATCAAGCGCAAGTTGAAGGGGAAGAAGAGGCAGAAGAAGACCGAAACTGGCGACGATACAGTTAATACAAATAAGTGGAGCAACTGGGACCTCATTGACATCATCAATGACACGCATGATGCCACACCTCTGGCTGAGGAGGTTGAGAGAAAGTCTGTGGAGGTCGGTGCTAAAGCAGTGGACGAGTCAGATGAAGACTGCGTGTCTGTCAGCAGCAGCAGCAGCATCGCCTCCGGTCCCTCCTCCTTTTGTCCCACCAACCTCAAGAGATGGAGGTCTATCCAGAGCTCATGTTCCGCCTGTCAGAAGCTCTACCAGAGAGCAGAGAAGTTGAAAACGCCAATCAAAGACAAACTCTTAGACAATGGTGAGTCCATTCTTTCTTGTGTATGAAACAAGATGAAAATCTCTCTGAAGGGAAATTTGGTCACTGCCACAGCAAGTACACAGGAAAGAATAGAGACAGTATAAGATAGCATAGTGGGGTGGCACAGTGATGGAGTGGTTACAACATCTTTCTGTGTGGTGTTTGCATGTTCTCCCTGTTTTTGCGTGGGTTTTCTCCCGGTACTCCAGCTTCATCCCACAGTCCAAAGACTTGTAGATTGGTGTTAGGTAGAAACTAAATTCACCATGTGAATGGATGGATGGAGTGGTGGTCAAAGTCTCCACATAAATCAGCCTTAGTAATACATTATTTATCACTTTTTAAAATTATTTTGTGGGAACTACCCCTTAAAGCAGTAAATAAGTATGAAATATTTAAGAATATTATGGCACATATTGTGCTGGTCTGTATTCAGTGCACAGATGGATTTTAACATGGGCGACCTCTCTTTGTGGTTTTTTCTTCAGATCCCAACTCTCTGACATGTGACCACTGGGTCCTGATCAAGCAGTGGAGACCCAGAAGGCTGACTTATGCAAGAGGGTAAGACTGCCTGAGTGTGTGACCCCGCTCAGACCTGGTTGTAACATCCGGCTTGAGTCATCTGATCACAAGTGGTCCTGAGATCTGATCGCTCGGACCACATGGGGAGGTGGTCTGGGACACATGTGGCCACATCCCTTTCACTGTTTTAAAGTAAATGCATAGTTGGTCACTTCTCAGTGTCCATATGTTTGATTTGTTCATGGTCACAATATCAACACTGATCATCACATAATGACCAATACTTTTTTTAAATTGGTAAAATCTTTCTTCATACCAGAGCTACACATCGTTCATTCAGCCCTCCCTCACTCTCCTTCTCTCTCTGCTTTTGGCCACACAAACACACACACACACTGTCATCGGACATATCTGTAAACTCAAACAACAGCATTATTTGGTATTCAAGAACACAAATGAGGAATAAGAGTGTTGAAGTGAGATCCGATCACAAGTGTTCACAGGAGACACATTTTAATGCCAGGTGTGAAAAGACAAACTTAGATCTTTTTCGGAAGGATGTTAATACCAGGTCTGAACCTATATTTACTGCCTCTCTGTTTTGTCAGGAAGCTAATGACCCATGTGAAGCTGGTTAAGAAAAGACTCAAGACAGGTGGGAAGCGAAGTGAGATGTACGAGAGAAAGTCATCAACCTGCTCACGACCGCACGCTTTCCTACAGAGGTGAGGCTTCTGTTTACATTCAACGCAGATTTTCTACAGTATCAAAGCAGGTCCGTCCGTCAAAAATGACTTTCCTGTTTGTGTGTTTGCTTCAGGAACCTTCGGTGCTGTGTCAGAGTGCCAACGAAGGAGAGGAAGAAGAAGATTAGGAGGAAGAGGGCAAGAGGTGATTCGCAGGGTTCTCGTGCTGCTAAGCAACGACGTCTCCACAGCAACAGTCCCCACCAGCACCTCAGTGGAAGCTATACTTGTGGCAGCAGCCCTCAGCCAACCAGCAGTCCGAGCAGCTGTCAGGCTTTTGAGAGATGTGACGATCGAAAAAGCGACAATCGATCCGACAAACTTGAGTCTGTTGAGGTGAGACCCTGCACAGTCACCCTGGAATCCATCAAGATGAAAGATCTTACCCCCAAGAAAAAAACACCAAAGAAGAGTGGATTCAGAGAACTGCTCTCCCAGCTGCGCGGCAACAGCAGCATGATCGTCAGAGAAAAATGTTAGTGAGGTGACTCCACTTTGTTTTACACTCCTCTTTAAATGTTTTATACAGCTGCTGTGTTCAAGTGCTGATGGAGCTTGTTCTTGTGTTGCTCTGTAGGTTTTCAGTGGCCCCATACACACCTGGTATTAACATCCGTCCTGAGAGATCCGATCACAAGTGGCCAGCGCTAAGTACATGTGTTCACACCTGACATTGAAGTGTCTCTTGTGATCGGATCTCACTTCCCCCGCTCTACATGCAAATTAAAACATACATCTTTTGTGTTAGTTCAGACCAAACAATGTTGTTTTGAGTCTGAGTTAACAGAGGGGTCCGATGGCACTGTGTATGTTCCTGTAGATATTTGTCAGGACGATTTTAAGCATAGACCCCACAAAGTGAGGACATTTTTGGAAAGTGAGGACAAGGTAGAGAGGCAAGTCAGGAATCTCTGAATGCAGCTGTGAAGAAAGATTTGACGAATTTGACGAAAGTATCAATCATTATTTGGTGATCAGTGTCAATCAACGAGAAGAGGAAAAAAAACGATTTGATTCATAGTGAAACTGCAGCAGCTCAGAGGACGTCAGCTGGGTAGGAGGTCCCTGTGGCTCAAGATGGATGTTTACACTGTGTTCACACTGCTAAAAGAACTGTACTTAGAGCTGTGATCGGATTGGAAAAACCACAGTTTAATACCAGGTGTGTACGGGGTACTGGCTATGTTCTCTGAATGTGAGTTTGTAAAAAACTTCAGAGCCAGAGCACGACCGATTTCTCAGTTGGACGATAATATAGCCGATCTTTTTCAGATATCGGTATCTATCTATGTTTTCTGATATAAAAAGTTTTGTTTTATAGAATAAACAATGCAGAAAAGATGCACATTTATGTTTACATTTTACATAAACAATTATCTTTATTTTCTTAATTCAGGTTATTTATATGTGGTTGTATTTGTGTTTTCTCTTAATTTATAGATATTTATAATAAAGTTTTGTTAAACTGTAAAATATCGAGCCTCGATCACATTTCTTAGTTATGTTTTATAAATTCAAAGTTAATTCACTTTGGTATGTTATAAATCTTAGTTTACACTGTAAACTGCCCATAACAATCTTTATGAGCAGGTTTTTGTTTGTTGTTTGTGACTAAAACATTTTACCAAAACAAACTGTCTGCATACTAATAAACACTTGTTTTTTCAGAGTAATGATGGATGAACTCAGTTTTTCCCCCACAATGCAGTGCTCAAAGAAAACAGCAGCTGCTTTAATTCTGGGAACATTCACAGAAAACTAAATCTAGCTTTTAAATTTTAGTGGAAATTTAATTTATACTAACTTAAAATAAAATCAAAATATTTAAATGTGATACCTGCTGTGTTCAGTTCGAACCATAGACTGTATATAAAGAGGTTAGAACGAGGTTAGAACGAGGTGTAACACTAATTACCAAGTAGATTTAAAGGTCCAGTGTGTAAGATTTAGGTGAAAGGGATCTATTTTCAGAAATTGATTATAAAGATCTTACTGATGTTTTCAATTGTATCTTTCATCTAAATTGTACAAATTGTACAAAGTTTTCTTTACCCTAGAATGGGTTCTTCATATTTAGATACTTTTACATCAGCAGTCCAGACTGGACAAACTAAAAACCTTTTGAGTTTTTATGACACCTGAAGCTTCCACAGTTTCTCTGTCTGGAAGGGGAGGGTGAGTTGAGGGGTGTTCAGCTGCAACATGCAACTTCACCACTAGATGTTCTCATTAAATTCTACACACTGATTATCTGCAAGTTTTGGACTTGTGGAAACCAGACTCCTCCTCTAAAAGTCCACATGGTGGCACTATTTCTCTTCACAATCACCTTTTTATCCAAGAGTATGCAAACATAGATAGAATTTTTCTGGCTTCCAGTAGCGCTTGTTGTGCTTCCTCTTAATGCCAAGAACAAATACACAGACACTTCCACAGCACAGACACGCACAGAGTTGCTATAAGTCAGTGCAGTCGTCAGCAGTGCAGTGACTCAGACCTGTTCCTAAGTCAGTGCAGTCGTCAGCAGTGCAGTGACTCAGACCTGTTCCTCATTAACACACATCTCGACTCTTGTATCATTTTCCTTTAGATATCTAAATTTATCAAAATCTATTTTTATTTCTGTACCACTTGGAATCTCTTTACCTCTTTTATTCTGCTATTTTTATTTGTTCATTTTGCCTGAAATTAGCTTTCTTTTATTTTTGTCTCTGTGTTGTTTTTGATGACCCTGCTCATCACCTTAAATCTACCTCTAAATTAAAGGTCCTTTATAAATGAAACTGCCTTGCCTTAAAAAATATGCTGCAGTGAAATAAAATATTCTTCTAAACTCTCTTTCGGAGCAGGAACTTTGCAGAGTTACAGTATCTGGATGATTTTGCAGAGGATAAAGCAGGTATGGCTCTTTTTTAGAACACCAGTTAGTGTTGGAGATTTGAGGAGCTTTACACAGTAATGTTATTTCTGAGATCTTGGTGCTGATTCCAGTGAATGAGGAGGAAGGGTGGGGAAAATGGGTAAGAGATAAGGGGCTGTTTACTTGTGGGATTAGTGTTTTGTGAGAGGATGGATGGGGATTTACAGTCAGAGCTGCCAAACTAGGAAACGTGTCTGACTTAGCATTACACACATGGAGTTGAATTCTAATCAATGAATGCATGATTTATAATCCATGCATCCATCCATTATCTATACTGTTTATACTCTGAGGGGCGTGTGCGCCTGAGCAAAAGCTTTAAAACTGTATTTTAAATTAACGTCATATCTTTTGATGTGTCTGCCCATCATGTTCCATCTCAAAGGGGCATTTGTTGATTGACTGTAAATGTGAGAAGCAGGAAACAATTTTGAGATGGAACTTGATGGACTAACAGTGTGTGGAATAACAGAAAAACAAGTTGTAAAATCAAATCCTGATTCATTCAATACACAATCAGGAAATAGAGTTATAACCAATCAATACATTGCCAAATGTAATAACTTTTTTAACCTATTGCTAATTTAATTGGAACCTCTTTTATCCTTTTCTTTTTAAGTTATGCTGTTACATCATTTTATCTCTTGTCTTTAATTTTAGATTTTGCATTACCAGGTCAGTGTCTGTTCTGAACCTGCCTGTTGGGAATGTTCTCTCGTCCTGTGTTGATGCTCCGGAGCTGCTTCAGAATGATTCCTTGTCATCAGTGAGTCCTCCTCAAACAGTTCTACAATATACTGTCACTTTATTGTTTGTGTACAGAGTTTATGGTGCAGAGTGAAGTTAGAAAATGTTTTCAATCTGCCTGGTTTATCTGCAATGAAGTTTTTATAGTCAATGTTTGTCAAATTGGCTTATATAGAAGTTTGAATGATTAATGAACCATTCATTACGTCAGCTATTTCAG